CCCCAAAACCCCAAAACCCCAAAACCCCTTGATTTAATATCAAAATTGAAGCTGTGCTAGAAGTTTTGGATAACTATTACCTCAACAAGGTTACATTTATATTCAAGAAAGAAGTCATGAAAGCTCTACAAGAGAATCAGAATCCTAACTATGGAGTTATGGGAGAAGACCAACTCTTGGGCATCCTCAGGAAAGCCATTGCTATAGGGAGAAGAGGAGAATGGAAGAAGAGAGGAAGAGAAATACACAGCACTATAACTAACTTTTAAAGAACAACTAGAAGTTTAATAAAGAAGAGACTGAAGCTATTATGAGAAAGTTGATGAATAAAATTGTAAAAATAACATCTTGATTAATGACGATATCAAGGTAAAAATAGAGTAATATCAGTTATCCTGATATTTCTCAAAAGGTAGATAAGAATGTTAATATTATCTGGACTTTCCTACTATTGAAATTCCATAAAGCCCTATCGTTATTCCTCAGTAGAGACTGCTTCTCATGTGCCTCTGAATACCTCTGAGATGATTGATGAGTACCAAAACAATGACGACTGAGGGTTTTATGAACAAGAAGTCAGAGAAGAAGACAAAGAGAAAAAATACGAACAAATTTCAGAGGAATATAGATTTCCAGAGCGGGCCTTAAAATATTCTGCCGAGGAAAATATCATAGAGCTTAAGAAGAAAGAGCTCAAGGAAAAACTCTCTGGAGGTTCTTATGGGTCGAAGGAGAAAAAGAAGGAAGTCGATATCCTAAACGAAGGGGAAATGACATACAAACTAATCTTCCGAAGTAGATTAAATTTAGCATTATAGAGGATGAGTTCTATCCTTCTGAGTTCAATAAAGTTGTCTTCTACTTCTACAACTTTAAAGTCTTATTTGGCCTGTAAAAGGCTAGATTTAAAGAAATTGAACAATTTCAGCTTGTCTTTCTATCATAACTGCAGAAAGACACTAAGTTGTTAAATATTTAGAATCTGTTACCTCCTCATTTACAATTTATTCTATGATCTTCATACAAGTAATAAGGTTTCTATCAAAATTATTGAGAATAATTTTGACAAAAGTGCTGATGAAATTAAACTTCTTAGGTACATCAAGTCAAACTGTGATGATTGTGATTTTAGGAATATTTTGAAAATGATAAATTACTCCTACCATAAGGAACATTTATTTATTGTGGCTGAGTTATCTAGGATACTATCTATAATGTTATAAGTGCAATAGAGAACAAGAAGAAAGCTTGTACTTCACAATCGGAAGACTACAGAAAGTGACCAAGAAGATACTAACAGTATTAGAATATCTTCGCGGTTTGCACTTGATTCACTGAGATCTGAGACTAGAGTATATCTTGATGGAATAGTACTCGAAGTTTCAAGTATAATTGATAAATCTTTAGTCAAGTTGCTTCATCCACAACAGCTTCAGCAGCTATGTCCAATAAAGATCTTGTGATGTATCATTGATGAATTTCACACTGGCTATGTCCTCTTCCAAAACTAATCAGTTGATAGCCTTCTGGCTAGAATCATTGGCATCATGAGTCCTATCCACGAGCACATGACTAGAGTAGGAAAACATGTGATCAACTATTTCACAGATGGAATGAATTTTGTACCAAGAAGCAGGTGGTATTAACATGCATTCTCAGAACGTCAGTGAATTAGCCAAGAGGAGACATAGAAAGAAGATGGAGCAAGAAGGTTACTCTTATAACATGATTATCCCAAAGAAAACTCATCTTAAGGCAAGGCTGAATAATGTTGATAATCCTCTCTTCTTTGATTACTTGAGCAAGACTTTAGATGTTGATCCTGAAAAGAGACTCTTAGCTAGTGAGGCATTTAAACATCTATAACTGACAGAAGCTAAGCATCCTGATGAAGATGAATAAGTCAGTGTTAAATCCCTAATTACAGTATTTTCAATTTTGTATCTTTAAAAAGGGGTTTTGGGGTTTTGGGGTTTTGGGGTTTTGGGGTTTTGGGG